GTCAACGAAAATTCCAGCATATTCTTGCGGAATTAATAACTTTTTCAAAGTTTAAAGGAGTTTTTTAACTGAAGGTTTTCCTCATTACTGACCAACCTGCGACTGTCATTCCATAATTCCTCTTGTCAAGATGATTGTATTGCCTGTAGCAATGTGGCCTTGAGTCTGAATTTCGAGGATAGGTTTGAAAGGTAGAGATTTGACAAATCTTCTTGTCAATGCTTTTCTTGTCATGTCGTACTAGAAATAATTTTCCTTTAGTTAACTTTTCAAAGAAATGTGAATAGCATTGCTTTAGTGTTAAGCAAATAAATTGATTATGTGATAAATAGAGTTAAAAAATCATTGTTGTCCATTGTGTTTAATAGGCCTTCGCATGAAAGAATATTTTGATAAGATGGTCCAAATGCCGTCATTTTAAGCTACCTTAAAAACATTTTGATGCTCTACAGGGGACGCTGCTTGCATTAAAATAAGGTTTAGTTGAGAAATTACGATTACCAATAAATTTAATTTTATCAGTCGCCTCCTTAGCTAAAAGTGTAAGTTTTTTTCTATGTATGGCTGATCAAGCATGCCTAATCGGTACCTTTTTTTATGAAGCCATTTTAACCTCTGTGAAATCGGTACAAGATGAAAAGCAGGGTAGAGTAATATGGAAATCTAGCATTAGATTTTATCAGCCATTTGGGGATCTGCTTATGTGTTATATTCTCAAACCCTTCCAGGTGTCTAGCTCAAAATCCTAATAGATATCGTTAAGATCTAGAAAATTTTAGTCCTTATAGAGGCATATACACCTGACCATTTCCATTTGGGAATTAGCATTTTATGTTTCATCAATTTGTTTTTAACCTAGGGTCATTTGATTCATTTCGGCACATACGGAAGTCTATCGGAGAGCAATATTTTCCAGAACTTTGACGCTGAAACCGTAACTCTGGAAAGCACGGATAACCGTTCCTTAATTAATAGGCGCTTTTCAGTTGCCAGCTCTGCTAGCTTTTTGACGGGACTCTCGATTGATGAACAGTTAGGGGAGCTGGAGTTGGGCAGTATGATTGAGACAATTGAGGACGATGAGGATAAACAGCCACAGCAGCAAGTGATTCAGACTGTAGACAAGACAACTGCAAGCTTATGTAATTCAGATAAGCTAGGCAAATTTCCAGTAGACTGCAAGTGGAGAGAATCTAATGAAAGCACTTCGGAGACCCTATATGAATCACATTGGGAAAAAGCTGTCAATGAAGAGGCTTCAAATCAACAAAAGAATCAGGACCCAGAAATTGACAGGCAGCTGACGGATTCCAAATTTGAAGAGGCCCCAGAGCTTATGGCAGCTGAAGGCATGCTAATGAAGCCGATCCTGCCAGATGCAGTCAACATAAACTCAGTTCCTCCATTACTGAAGGTAAGATATTTACATAGCTTGAAAAAGCTTAAAACTTGTGCATTTCTATGGGAGCATACTTATTTAGGCATAGTCTGACTCACCTCAACGTAACCGTTTCGCGTAATTGAGGTAATGCTCTGAACCAGAAGCCAATTCTTAGAATGTTTTAATAAGGATAAAAATAATAACGCAGTCCAATTTTGAGCAGATTTAGCCCACACCTGAGTGTGACATACGGAAAAATCAAGTCACCCATCTTCTGACTCGACATTTCTACTCAAGCAATTTCTCCAGCTGCCTGAATAATTCATTCCAATGGAAATGCTAATTGAAGGTATTTGTGAGTTTGTATAACCAAAAACTATCCTGCAACCATGATACATGCGTCTGTCTTGCCGTGATATCATACTTTAGGAATATTCACCTAACATAAAGGCAAGAAAGGTGACCAGTTGCATACTTTTACACTATGTATAGTTATCATTTGCCTAAAATAGAAAGTTTGAAAAATATTATGGCTCGAAGCGTCTACCCATTGCAATCGAAGCATATCGACCAATAAATTCTGTTCCAGATGCTATCATTCTGTCAACTTTCAATAAAGGTAAGTGAACTATCTAGGGAGTTGGAAATTATAACTATGTATGAGGTGAACCTAACAATTTCCTTAGTTATGCCTTATTTACTAGAATTTTCGGACTCTTTCTAGTTTTACAGGGTTTATTGCTTAAGTGATAATGTCAATTGGCAGAGCGGCCTGCTGATCCATGCATGAAAGATTATCTATTCTCAAAACCCCTTTAGACAAAAGACCATGGCTCCAAAAATGCGAACTGGATGAAAATGTGTTAAAATGGGCAACAGAAAATAGAATATGGCATGGCGAATTCGCATCTTAGTGCACGAATAGGGAAATAAATAAAGCAGTGAACATCAAGACTAGAAGGAACAAGTGTGAAAAAATGATAAGGAATTACTTGTGGCTACTAGGGAGGGTGATGGACAGGGAGCGGGAAGGTTTAAACATCCTAAATCACCTTAATCACGAGGATTGCATGTACGAAGCACACCAGCAAAAGGGTACAACTACAAGTATCAGCATTAAAGGATGAAGTATGCAGGAGACTTGGAGGAGGAGACAACCGTTCAGATACATCTGCATAGATTTAACTTATTTTATGTATGTAGGGGGGAAGTTGATAGCCAGTTAAATAATGGAATTCCTCAGTAAAAGGAGACGTTATACTACAAGATATGCCTAAATTAAACCAGTTGTATAAGATGTATTCACCCTATTTCATTTAAGGTGATAAAGGACTGATAGTAGAATTTTCCCACAATGTTATGAGTAGAGCTGATGTTTTCATTGCATTTCACATAGGCTTACTTTATCAAAAGATTTTCTCATCCAGGGTGGACTGCTTAGGTCTTATCAACACCCCCAGAGGGAGTTGAACCGTGAAGGTGCAGAATGTGAGCTTGACACGTTAACCACTCGGCTATATTGCCACGAATGCCCTTGGGTCACAGGGAAGATGAGAATTTCGAAGAAGGCCAGGCCTTTTCCCATATCACATTCATGGGTGGGATAGTCGATGGAGCAACCGTATTTTTGCTATAGCAATAGATTACGGTACTTATTTTTCGTATGTAAGTAGAGTAAATAAGTAATATGAAACGTACTGGTAGTCGATTGTTATAGCAAAAATACGCTTGCTTCATCGACAATCTCACCAAATAGTGTGATTCAGTTTTATTACATATCTTTGTCCATTGGCCTATTACATATTATATATTTAGATATATTAAATTATTATTATCTATTTTATCGGTAGAAAACCATAAAAAATCAGCTACAACTTGATTCTTATCTTCCAAGTTTTACCCACATTAGTAGAAAATATTACTGAAAAATCCACGCAAATTTTCACACAATGATTTGAGTAGAGCTGACGTTTCCATTAAATTTCACATAGCCTTGCTCTCCCAAAATTTGTTATCATCCAGGTTGAAATGTACTGAAGTTTCGACCTCGCATCGGTCTCATCAGCACCACCAGCGGGAGTCGAATCGTGTCAGTGCAGCATGTAAACGAAATAGGATGAATACATTTCATATTACTGATTTACTGGTAGTTTTGAAACCCTACTTAAATACGAAAAAGAAGTAAAGTAGTCGATTGTTATTACAAATATACGTATGCGCCATTGACAATCCCACCAAAGAATGTGATATGGCAAAATGCCTGTCCTTCCTTGAAATTAACATCTGCCCTGTGACTTAATGGCACTCGTGGCAATGTGGCCGAGTGGTTAGCGTGTCAAGCTCTTATTTAGCACTGTCACGATTCGACTCCCACCTGGGGTGTTGATAAGACCTATGCGACGTCGAAACTGCAGTCCAACCTGGATGAGAACAACTTTTGGGAAATTTAATGGAAACGTAAGTCTATTCACATCATTGTGAGAAAATTATATTACCTGTCCCTTATCACATTAAACGAAATAGGATGAATACATCTCATATTACTGATTTACTTTTAGTCTCCAAACGCTACTTACCAAAAATGAATTTAACCAACTTTCCTAAAATAGGTTTTATGGAGTTTTTCCAATGAACACTTTCGTATTTTTAAGATGCCCGTCACATGAAAAAGGAAAGCTGAGTGCTTATTTATCAGCGGTGCAGGATGGTGAGCTGAGAAATTCGTTACATACTGCCGAGTCTTTAAATACAGCAAATTCCTCCTCAAGCTTTGTTGAGGCCAATTCATGAATCCCTTTAAGCAAAATCCTCTTCAAAATGAAATGTAGTAACACATGATTGTTAAATTATTCTTCATAATCAAGCCTTTTGAAATTTCTTTTCCCTTGCATAAATTTGTTCTTACCCCTCTTCCTATTTCTTGCTAGATATACAGGGTGATGAAGTCAAATCATTGAAAAAGCTGATATATATATTTAACTGTCCATCTGAAAGCAAATTGAAAGCTGTCCTTAGGATCTTTATACTTAGAATGCTTTAATTACACAGCTTCACCAGACGCTTTAATACAGCCTTTTGGACGTTTCTGTTTTCTAAATGAATAGATGCGGAATGATAATGCCGCCAAAATAGCTTGATTGAAGGCATATACGCTTGGCCCACTGCTTCATATCATGCTTTTACAGTACAGGGGATTCATAAGTGAGCCTCACCAGAAGCTGTAGGGGGGATTATTTTGGAACTGTAACTCCTCACACGAAATGAAGGTACTCGAACAGCAAAATAAGGTTGCAAATGATTAACAAATTGCAGTTGTTTGACCTTGTTTTCGCAACTTGGTCTTATTGGTAAGTAGACTTAGAGGAACGCATCTTGTCCTGAGCCCATTCTATGCATAATCATTTTCAAAGTCGGAACGTGGACGTGGTGCATTCCTAGACGTTTCGCCGTTATCGTAGTCGGTATCGTCAGAGAGTTTAACTATTTGTAGCACCATATTATAACTCGTCAAAGAGACAAGTGAAGCCGATCCTTTGATCAAACATGTGCTAAACAGTTATGGTATCTCCTCTTCTGCCCTGGCCTATTA